GTTAAGTCATCCTGGTGATCAGTCGCACAGCCCAACTGCCAAGGCTACCGCAATTGTGGAAGCAGCTATGTCCAGAGCGGACCATTGTATATAGTTCAATTGTTTCATTGTATAGTGTTCACATCACCTCCAGCCACTTCCACATACCACGCTCGAGGCCGTACAAAGCAGGGAAGGGCCAGGCTGAAGCCTGCTTTGGTCCCCTGAGGAAATGAAACTCTACAGTGAGGATTGATGTCCGGCTGACCTCTATCACAAATATCGTCTGAGTTGATGCAAGTTGAGTTGGTCTGACATGAACACTCTAATATCTCGATCGAGATATTCTGTGCGTCAATGTCACCAAAAATATCTCGATCGAGATATTATGTGCATCATTTTCACCAAAAATATCTCGATCGAGATATTATGTGCATCAATGTCACCAAAAATATCTCGATCGAGATATTTTTGTGCATTACTATCACCAAAAATATCTCGATCGAGATATTTTTGCGCAGTACTATCATCTAGACTATATCGATCAATATATTTTTGTGCATCACTACCACCGAGAAAATCTATAAATTCACCAGCGCTTTCCCTTTCCCATGAAGTACAGCTGGGCTTCACTCATGTTCGTGAAGCCGCGGATCGCATCTCGCATAGCTCGTTCGTTCTGAATCCAGCGGCCGGCGCGCTGGCGTGGACGTGTCCGTCCCTCGTTGTACCTGAGCACGGGTGAATGTTGAGAGGACTTGAACTCATAAGGTGTGCATGTCAATGAAACATATTTCACACTTTCCTATACCAAAAACCTGATTGAACACACAGACAAAGATACCCATGGAAGATGCCGTCGGCTGTCACAAATCCACCATGGACGTACCACCCTTCTTGTCCTCGTTTTCCATGCGGAGGTGGCACATACACTTCATCGTTGGGATGTGCTTCTGGCTCGTTGGGGCGGGTAGTCGAGGTGTCGATCTCCTGATGGCTCTTCCATTCAGAGCTCTTCCAGTCATCAGAGCTCTTCCACTCAGAGCTCTTCCAGCCATCAGAGCTCTTCCAGTCATCAGAGCTCTTCCACTCATCGCTCCTCCATGACGTCCACTCTGTCGTCATCCAGCCATCTCCATCTCCATCTCCACCGTCTCCACAGCTGCTCAACCACGCTTCTGCTGAACCTGAACTCGACGCAGCTGCTCCAAAGCCGCCAGCTGCTGAGCCTTTGTACAAAGGCTTGGGCCTTCCAGGGATGAGCGATGCCTCCACCTCTGGACCCTGCTGCCAGGGTCGGGCCTTTGGCATCATCTTCAGCACCTTGGCAGGCACCTCCTGCTCATCAGCCTCGGCCTTGTCGTCGGGGAAGTCAGGTACCTTGTATACATGCCGGAGACTGGTGGGTGCTTCAATATCTTTCAACCAGACCATATCCAGACCCACAACCTAGAAGAGCAGGGTCATTGACTCGCTATCAAAACCACAAGGTTAAAGAAGAGCAGGGCACAGGCTCGCTAGCAGGGTGATCGACTCGCTATCAGAATTAGATGTTGAACATACCGATATAACAGGAACCACAACATATGAAAACACCTATGTCCAGACAAAGGCACCGGCTTCACATGTTCATCTGGACCGCTGATGAACTCTTCGAAGGACTTCTCCACGGCTTGCGCCCTCTCCGCTGCGGTCCACTTGCCCCATGTCTCCTTATAACCAGGCTGTCAATCGTTGTGTTTTGCGCAGGCGAGTAGCTATAGTCTCTGCCGGCGTGACTAATCACTGCCTATGGAGATATGTTTTGCAATGATATACCTTGAACGCTGGGGTGTTTAACAATAGTGTGTTTCTCCAAGCATATCATTCTACCTTGTTGAATGCATACGTCACAAACACTGAACAAGCCAAGAATCATCATCTGCGTCGGATGCTGTAAGTGCTGCCTGTTGGCACTGGGTTGAATGGACAAGGGATGTGTTTACTGTGCGCTTACGTTCGAGGAAAGGACCACGCAGGCCACTGGCAAGTGTGACTGCTACACCGTCTTTAGACTCAATCGAACCTCAGCTCTTAGACTCATAAACCTCATCCTAAACCCATGCACCCCCACCCCACCTTCGTTGGCTCCTTCTTCAGCACCTTGTTGATGAGGGCTCCAGGCTTCAGGATTGCACCTTCGCTCTCACTTGGGCCCTCCATTGCGTCCACAACGCACGGAGAAGTGAGCAAGCAAAGAACAATGCGTAAATCAATATACGATGTACCTACCAATGCGTAATATGCAGTAAGTGAGTTTATGGGTTGCAAGCCTCTCATCACGCCGTCTCTCATCATATCTCATCATGCTCTCTCTCTCTCACTGTCACAGTAGCTGAAGACAGGTGTAGTTTAAGTTCGCCATAGATATGTCTATAAGTGTGTATGTAGTGGCTTTCGCAAAGGTACTATGCGCACTATACTTGCTGTGTTTTGTGATATGACCCATGCACACTATACTTGCTGTGTCCAGTCATGTTACAATGTGTCTTTAGTGCTTGAGTCTCTGTCACGCCAGCAGCGGCTTCATGCATAGCTGCGCATGCACACTGTTTTCTGCAAACGATTTTTTAAATCCCAACAATAGAATCATGTTTCCAAACTTCTCACAAAGGTCCTGCTCCCGACACATCCATCACATGAATATAAGGGCAGCAGCAAACTGGTTGCAAACCACAGCAAACACATGCGTTCGTCCAACTCTTTTCCCATCCCAGCCATAGCTGGTTGAAAGCTTCCCCATAAGCTTTCTCCAGCGCACCCCGCAAAAACAAAATATCATCAAACAGAGCTCTGTGGCTTTGAGGGCGAAGGACCTTCAGGAAGGTCAGAATTCTTGACCTTCCTGCCACGTCCTTTCTCAGCCTCCCACTCTTTCATGCCGAGAACAACATGGAGGAGGTTGGACTGGTCAACCTCCATCCACAAATCTCGGCTTGACGTGCCAAAAGCCACTTTCACCGGCTTTGCTTCGACGCCCCCAGCAGCTGGCAATTCAATCGTCACCATAGGTGAGAAGTGAGCCATGTCTGCGGTGACACGTACAGCAGTACGCCTGGCCCTTTTGGAAGATGGCCCCGGCACCTCATCATCAGACTCATTGGCGTGGGCATCCTGGACTGCCTTGAGAGATGCCGCTTTCCGGAGCTTGCACAAATGATCTAAATAGGCTCCAGCCGAAGTGCTATTCAGATTCTTCTTGTCCTTATTCCAGTCCAAGCACTTGCCGGTGAGGAATTTGGTCAGACCGCGGTCCCATTTCGAGAGTAACATGAGCTTGGAGTCCCCAATGGTTTGCACCTGAGGCACCCAAAGTTCGCCGTCGTCAAGGCGACAGCCAATCAGGCTCACAATCTCGACACGACTCGCGGACTTCAATTCCATCGCTGGATTTTGGTCTAGAAAGGCGATCAAATCTGCCAGCGAGTTGAGCCCTGCTAAAGCCTCACAATGTGGCCAGCGAGATATAGACCCTGCTCAAGGCACACAAATATGCCAGCGAGAGTGCCAGCGAGTCAGACCCTGCTAAAGCTCACAATTATGTCAGCGAGTTAGACTGTGCCAAAGCCTCACAAATGCCATGCACCATATGTCAGCAACTATTCACCCTTGCTCACCAGCATCATTTTATATTCATACACTCGAAACACACAAGCGCATCAAAAAGTCCTTCACATGACTACTCCAGCTAATGAATGTACATGCTTATGGAGGAATGTTTTTGGTCACCTCATCTCGCAGCGGAACTCTGCAATTGCTCTGTGTGTCTATATTGGGGTGCTTGTCAAAACTGGCAGGCAACAACAACAAAGAATGAGTGATATCATTCTAATTGCAATTTGCAGTAAACCAAGTTGCCAAAACAAACATCACATATCACCCCAATCACACGATTCCTTTGGTGCGAACCCTCTTGTTTGGAAGCAATTGTTCCAGATCGAGTGGTTTCTTCACTTTTTCCTTATAGAGCAGCAACTCATCACCAGCCTTCAAGGCATGGGTGTTGCGAACGAAAGGAATCTTTACTGTCATACCCTCGAAGCTTTTCGATGAAGCTCCTTTTGCGCAAACCAGCTCACAATTAGCCATGTCAGGGTCGTAGGTCGCGCCAACAAACCAAAAGGGAACGATCATGCCTTTCTTGTCTTCCTTGGGGAGCTGAACACTTGGAACCAGGTAAAAGTCCCACTCATCCTGAAAGGTAAACACCTTGATCTGAGAAGAGTTGGGGTTCTCTGTTCCATGCTCTCTTGAAAAGATGGCATTGGTGAATGGTATCAAACGCAGGGCGTGCTTCTCAATCTTCTCTTCAGCAAACACGCCTTTGGGCTTTGTCATCAGTTTCAGGCAAGAAGGGTTGACAACAGAAGTGCATTTGCCCATGCTGTTGCGAAGTTCCAACAAGATCTTGGCTCTGATGCAGCTCTGTTGGATCTCGGGGTTCTGCAGTGGGCCATGCTCCCAATACTCTGGCAAACACTCAGGCTTTGTTTTAGGCTTAAAGAGAGTCCACTCATTGTTGACAAATGACTGGGCATCTACCCGGCATTCCCCTGACATACCACCCGCGTTCACATCGAGGAGAACATACTCATCCTTGAAACCCAAGATTTGCGCCGTGACTTTGTCTTTCCTGATGACATGACACCCTACCTTGAACCCCATCTCTTCAACCAGATCCTTCATATTGGCAATCTTTCCGGTGTTGGAGTATTGCCTCATCCTGAAATGTCACAGCAGCGGTTGCACATATATGGTCTGAAAAAACCCATAGTCTCATATGTTTCAAGAAAAGTGAGAGCATATAGTCTCATAAACGCATGGTTTCAACAACAACAACAACAACAACAACAACAAAAGGGGTGTTTAATCCTCAACAGGTCTTGCTAACCCAGGATTCTCACCTGTCGAAGATGAAGCACGCGCACCTTCACCAGACATGGTGACATGTGAATCCCACTCATTGGTCAGGTTCACTCCGAGAGTTTCCCTCACCTTCCAAGTGAGTAAGGCAGCTTGAGCTTCCAAAGTCTCTTTCACATCCATACCTGGGACCCTTCTGTCTAAGAGACACAGCAAAGCAGCGCGCTCCCACTCGTGCACCAACCCCAAACATTCAACGCTCTGATCCTTGGCCAAATCTCTAATCTGGCGTATCATCGATTCAGCCTTGGACGCGTTCTCATGCAACAGGAGACGCTTCACGTCAGAATGGGAAACGAGTTTCCCAAGTGGACAAAGTGCCAACTGAATGGCTGCATGTCTGATCAGCACCAATGGTGGACTCTTTCCTCACCAGAAGACACGTACAAAATCCCATCAAAAACATGTGTGTAAACAAATATATATATATATACACGAAAAAGCACACCCAAATGATCCAAAGCGCTGGGTTGGAAGTCAATGGCCTCCCAGAACTCGTGGCCCAACACTCGCCGGGGCCAGGCTGCACAAATGTCCACCGTCTCATGCAGGAAAGGCGCCGTGTCCCCCCACTGAACTTCATGACGAAGTTGAAAAGATCGGGTAGGTATTCTTTGAACTCTGGTTTGCTTTTCAAAAGCATTTTCTTGACATCATTGAAACCCACAACACTCTTGACAGCCTTCTGGTCCAAATATGAACGGAAAACCCTCAGACAAAGCTGAAGCTCTGTCTCCTTTCTTTGGAGTTGGCCACTGGTGTTGCAAGTGAGCTGAATCAAGCTTGGGAGATTGGGAAATGCTGACATCACTTCCGACGAAAGTATCTCCCACTTGAGGCCATGCGTGACAGCATCATGGTACTCGACATCGTGCAGCTGAAGCTTCTCCAAGCTAAGCTGATCATTGTTTGTGAACCTGGTGTCTTCATGTCGATGGTGCGCAGCAAACATGCGCAACACCATATTGGTGTGTGTGGCTGAGAGTGAAGCATATTTCACACTTCCTGGTGCCACAGGAGGCAACAAACCCTGGGAACGTTGCACCAACTTTTGGTTGAAGTTCATCACACCATCAGTATCTGAGACTTCGCATGCAACTGCCCTCACTTCTTTCCAAGACCAACCACTATCACCGATGTCACTGAGCAAACTGTGACACTCTCTAGGAAGCACGCCAAGGCCGTCACGATTATTGGGATGTGGATGGACCAACGCAGGGATCACACGCTGTTCATACAAGAGGTTCTCTGACTTCAAGAAACCGAACAACGAGTTCATGGTTTGAACATGGCCACCATCTTCGGCCCGTTTGATGAACTCCGCAATCTTGCCTCGCACCTCATCCTTCATTGCGAGCAAAGCCCTGCAAGCGTGCTCTGCACTGCCCTCACGAAACGCTGTGTGCTGAGCCAGTCAAATCTGAGAGCCAAGAAATGCAAAAACACGAGTGAACAACGCTGGAATCATGTCTTGCAAACAAACACAACATGCAGGAGTTGCCAACTTGAGTCAACTGCACACACTGATTGCAAAAAGCACTTGGTTGCAACAGATTCCAAAAAGCAAGTCACTGTCACACACGAGTCGTTGTTGCGACAAACTCTTGCGTGGGTTTTGCACCATGTTTCTCCCAGAGATGGCTGTATAGGCGGCTAGCGCACCTGTGTCAGTCCGCAGCTGCTGCTGCGCAACCGCGCAACCAGTCCAGACATGAAGCCGGGGCGGAAAGCGACAGATCTTACATTACACCGTATTTACTACGACAAACAAAACATTCGAACAACTACATGAAGAAAGGCTTGCGCAAGTGAGCACACAACATTACATTGTCACACAAACGTCTTTAAAGCTTCTCTGTAGCAGGGTGCACTCGCTGACATGGCAGGGTTTTGGTTAACTCGCCCAGAGGGACATGAAAACACCAATTGATGACATCTATCTTTGGAGATTGGCAGGAGCTCTCTAATGAACAAGAGGGTGCGTTAGACACTGCAAACCCTTTTTTTTGTCCAAGCACGAGACATGAAAACACCAATTGATGACATCTATCTTTTGAGATTGGCAGGAGCTCTCCATGAACAAGAGGGTGCGTTAGACACTGCAAACCTTTTTTCGTCCAAACGCGAGACATGAAAACACCAAATAGGTGGTTCTTTCAACCCCTCTGTCCCAAACACATCGAATGAAACAGTAAGTCTATATGGCTTGCAAGTCCAATCCTGCAGTCCACAAACGCCTC